TTTATCACAGGCCCCGTCTTTGATGACGTATAGGCGAGAGCCTACTACAATGATGTAAATGGATTCTAGAATACTTGCGTACTAATCAGTTTTGAAGATTTTAAATTTATATTTAATACTACAGATGCAATAAAAAATTATTTTAATTCTTTTCCATTTGTAGCTATTTACATCTAACTTATTTATGATTTTAAAGCGACTTAATTAGTTAATATTTTAGTGTAATACTTAAAAAAAAGGAAGTATTTCAGCAAATGTTGAAAACTTGAGAGAAAAAAAAGGAAAAAAAAGGGGAAAAAAAAGAAAGAGAAAAAAGAAACAATGTTACGTAACACTAAAGTGATACCCCCTTCCCCTATTAACGCATCGTAAGTCTCCTCCTTAGCGTTACGTAACGTGTGGGCGACCCCCTGGTCTTACCTCGATAAGCGCGCGGCCGCACGCCTCGTCGCGCCTCTGCACGGCGATCATGAGCGGCGTGATGCTGGGCGTGGCCAGGGTGAAGCCCCTCCCCACGGAAGACACCGCCTGCAGCTCGATGTTGGCGCCCAGGCGCAGCAGCTCGCGCAGCGCCTCCACGCGGCCGGCCGCCGTCGCCACGTGCAGCGGCGACAGGCCCCGCCGGTCGCGCGCGTGCAGGTCTGCTCCGAACTGCACCAGAACCTCCATGCACGCCGTGCTGCGAAAAAGCGATCGTTAGATTTTCCACAGCGAAAACGGTAGGCGTGGGAAAGTTATTCAACGATTGATTGTGTTAGTGGCCGGGGTGATTAGTCCCGTAAATGTAGTGCTTAGTTTTTGCTCGGGCGGTGGCCTTTCCCCAGCTGTAGGGCGAGAACCGCCGCCGACCTACCGTCGGCTAGCAGGGATTTCCCTCACCAGGTATCCGGGCCTAAGCTCTAAGCTCCCGACCGGTCTCTTAACATGAGTGGTAGTATAGTGCATGTTAGTGTAACGGGTGAGGAAAGGACAAGGAAGAGGAAGGTGAGATCGCGCGCGGTCCGTGGCCCGTTTCTTAGGGTACTGCTCCGGCGTGGTGTTGCTTGGAGAAACGAAAACGGAAAAGTACTGATCAAAGCAGCCGGTCGCTGGAATTCTTCCATTCTCAAAATCGAGAATCGAAATAGAAGTCGATAGACGAACTACCGCCTTATGGGCCATGGGCACAGACAATTCCTCGAACCCGATTCTCACATCGCACCAATAGTAAACTAGAATGTCTCATGCCAATAGAAAGTCTCATTTAGCTTACGTTCATGTTACGCATTGTGAATAGTTCGGTCTATCATTTATGTCAATGTTTACGTCTATGCGTTATGCTTGTGTTTACGTTTGCACCGCGTCGTTGCGAACGTGTCTCACCTGTTGGCCGACGCGGCGATGTGCAGCGCTGTGTCGCCATCCCAGGTGCGCGCGCGCGGGTCGGCCCCGGCGTGCACCAGCAGCCGAATGGCTCTGTAGTTGCCGGCCGTCGCAGCGTAGTGCATCGGGCGCAGACCTACTCGAAAACAGACAAACACAGTCGTTCAATCCTCGAAGACGACGAGAACTAAATGGAGGATTTATACTACATACGAGAGACAGAAACAGACAGAGTGAGAGAGAGAGAGATGGAGAGGGAGGGGAGAGAGAGATGGAGAGGGAGGGGAGAGAGAGATGGAGAGGGAGGGGAGAGAGAGATGGAGAGAGAGTGAGATAGATGGAGAGAGAGTGTGAGTTAGTCGGAGAAAGAGTGAGTGTGAGATAGTTGGAGAGAGAGTGAGTGTGAGATAGACACAGAGAGAGAGAGAGAGTGAGTGTGAGATAGACACAGAAAGAGAGAGTGAGTGTGAGATAGACACACAGAGAGAGAGAGTGAGTGTGAGATAGACACAGAGAGAGAGAGTGAGTGTGAGATAGACAGAGAGAGAGAGGGGTATAGACACAGAAAGACAGAGAGCTAGATAAAAACAGAAAGACGGAGAGGAAGATAGTGAGAGAGAGATATAGCCACTCACCGCTGTTGGTCTGGGCCTCGGGGTCCGCGTCCCATTTGAGCAGCAGGTGCACCAGGGCGATGTGGTCGTTGGCCGACACCGCGGTGTGCAGGGGCGTCAGGCCCAAGGCGTCCTTGATCTTGACGTCGGCTCCGTTCTCCAGCAGCACAACGACGCAGTGCGCGTGCCGATAGTAGATGGCGTAGCACAGCGGCGTCTCCTTGCTGAGGCAGCGCGCGTTCACGTGCGCCCCGCCGTGGCACAGCAGCACGCTCAGCACGGCCGGCCGCCCGTGTCTCGCCGCTCTGCGCCGCGGAAGGAGAATTGTTTCATTAAGATGTTGTAGCAACTTGTTGGCGTGTCAAAAAAAAGGGTGCATGTTAAGAGACCAAGGTGGGAAGGGAAAGGAAGCCAAATAAAACTTGTAAAAAAATGTTCAAAATCATTAAAATTTCTTAAATGGCTAAAAGCGGCGAAGGGGCTATAAGGTGCGAAGGGGCTATAAGGTGCGAAGGGGCTATAAGGTGCGAAGGGGCTATAAGGTGCGAGGGGGCTAAAAGGTGCGAAGGGGCTAAGAGCTTCAAAGTTGCACAAACCTTATGGAAGGGACGGACCTTGAGGGAGAGACGGATATTATGGATTTTTGGAAGATAATATACAATAGTTAAAAGTCAAAACGCGTGACCAGTGCGTACCTGTGCATCGGCGTCTCTCCGTTTTTATCGCGGGCGTTGGGGTCGGCGCCGCGCTCCAGCAGCTCGAGCGTGCAGGAGGAATTGCTGAAGGTGGCGGCCATGTGCAGCGGCGTCTCGTTCAAGTAGCCGCTCGGTGCGACGGGCGACGCGCCTGCGTCCAGCAACCCGCGCAACGCCTGCAGCCTTTCCTTCCTCAGTGCCTCCTGCACCGCGTAGGTCGCTGATGCCTGCGCAACAGAACACAAACGCATTCAAACGCCGCTGTGTTTTAATAAATAAGTTTGGTCAAAGAGTCGTCACCTCGACCGGAACTCGGACTTGGGTCTCCTGGCTTACAGTAACCGGACGTAAATCAGAGGTTCCTGATGGGATCAGCATCGACTTTCGAAGGGATCGAAGACTTTTTAGTTAGTTAACCATTCGCAACACAATGCAACAAAAAGGTTGGGACCCTCTTCACTAGTCACTGATCTACCGAGACAACGAATTGCTTTTGGAAAGTTTCATAGGCCTGAGTATTGCCCGTTTATGATATATAATTGGCACCACCTTGTCACCTTATTGGAGAGTCTATTAAAGCTGGAAATAAATTCTGTAACGTAATGTAAGCAAGCTGTGGCCTCTTTACTGAATAACTAACGTTTTTAATAAATACATTTGTTCAAAGAATTGTCAAATATAGATAAGCTAAATATACAGCGTCAACAGTTGATCATTATGACTATATCTGTACGACTCATCAAATACTGCTATGTTCATACAAGTTTGCTCTGAAGAGGTAATGTTTAAGAGTGTCGAAATGCCAGAAAATAAATGAGCACTATTACATGTCAGTGCTGATTGTCCAACACCCAATTTCAAGTTAATTTTTAACCATTCTACGTATTAATTTGGAAGAATCGGCAGCCATCACATCAAAATGATAAAATGTGTGAATAATGTTTAGGTAAAAATACGTATTTTACATTCTCGCACTTACTTCGTAAGAAGACATCGTATTGTAATCGAGGGTCAGATTTTCGACAGGAAAACTCACATTGCCGCCCCCTGGTTACGAAAAAAGTGAATAAATCTTATTTCTATAACTTGAAAACCTTCCGCGTCGAAAACTGTGCTTTGAAATTATTGTATTGAGACATTTTTAAGCGTCGGACCGAGTTCGAACAACACAGTACATCTGTGGCGAAGTTGTACAGCCGCCGGTGATTTAGAGTCTCAGTACGAAGAAGGAGAAAAAAAAGAAAAAAAAAAACGTCCTAGCTAAAAACACTTTGCGTAGCGGTTACGAACAATGCGAGAAAGTATGTGCTGCACCACTAGCTCCGAAGCGAACGCATGCATTGAGCGAAAACCCACCTGGAAGACGCGAGGGCGTTCACGGGCGATGACGACGGCGGTGCGTCGGGAGACGACCGCCAGCAGCGCTGCCGTCACCTCCTCCTTGCTCCACTGGAACGTGCGCAGCATCAGCTTCAGGCGCAGAGCGTTGCCCGACGCCGCCGCCCCGCGCAGGAGCTCGCCCCGGGCGTACTCCAGGCCCTGCGCACACCACACACGTTAGACACGCTTCACTTGCGCTCGTTTAGTTGAGCTCTTCTTTCGCTAGGTGTGGAGGGAATGGAGCAGGGGGTGCGAGTAGTTATTGTGTTAGTAGTGCTCTAAAAGCAGATCTGTAGTTCGTTTACCGACGCTTTATGATTCATTGATTACTGATTCCGGGCGAAAGCTTTGTTGATCCCTTAAGTGTAGCGCATGTTTTTATCTCGGAAGGATCATGCCGCCATGATGAGATCCGGCGCCGGCTTACTCGTCAGCTTGCTGTGTTTTCCCAACTAGGTATTTCCCACCAGCGGGGCACCGCTCCAGCTCTGGTATACACTCTGGTAGAGAAGAATTTTCCTAAGGATGGGATGATTTGACAGCTAGTGCTGGCAACACAACTGACG